TCAACTCTGAGACTAAAAGTTCTCAGATAGATATTATAGTCTCTGACTATATATGTCTATAATTGAAGAATAATAATAATATTAATTATCATATTAAATACAAAGTGATAGAAGTTCTAGACAGTCACAACTACTATCTTAACACATTATCAGAGATTCATGATATTTTTTATATAAGCTTGCTTCACTGTACTATTACTGACTTATTTTCTTCTCAACTGACTTTTGAGTAACAGCTGTCAGAGGTCATAGAAGAAGATAATAAACTTGAATAAGAGATTGAAAATATTCGCAATAAAAAATCTCACAGTCACAGTTAATAATATTTTATAAAATGAATTAGTTATAATTATCTGATCTGAACTCTGAGCTTTATATTATCTGAAACAGTAGCTCTTGACTGATGAAAACTACACATCTGCAACTCTATCACTCAAATCTCACTTCTGAAAAGAAGAAACTAATGTAGCAGACTATATCTAATTATAAGACTATTTCATTACACTTCATAGATTTCTGTTAAAAGTCTCAATTCTCAGTTACTGATTCTCAGTTAAAGAACTCACAGAGTTTCTATTCTTCTGCTCTGAATCTTCTATTCTTTCACTCTGAAGCTTCATCTTATATGTGTATAAATATTCACTTCAATCACTGATTCTTGCACTTTCTCTTTTATTTTTCTTCTCTAGTATTTTTCATTTTTATTATATAAGATCTACATATTAATACTAATATATTCAGCGTAGACCTCTTACAATCTGAGATCTTTAATATTTGAAATAAAGTGATTTAAAATCAATGTAATGAATATAAATTATAATCAGAAGTAATACTTTTAAATAATATAATATTTATAAAGTTTGATTTTGATCTTAGACACAGTCACACGGCCAGTCTATTTATAATGAAGAATATGCTTTTAAAAAGAATATAAATTTACTAATTGATAAATTCAGAGAAAATGAAATATTTTTAGTCAAAAGTAAGAGTCTTTCTAAAAAAGATAAACTACTCTTATTAAAATATTAATATAATGTTTTAAAAAGAAAAGTATGCTATTTAGATTATAATCTATAAAATAATTGAAAATTATATTAATAAAGCTATCTATAAAAAGCTTGATATAGTAATTGATTATATAATTTAAAGAGATTATCACAGATAATAGCTGCAACAGCTGTAATAATTAATAAATTTATTATAATAATTTATACACTTCTGTATTATTAAAAATCTAAGATATTTAAGTTCTGAATTTAATGTATTCTCTACAGGTTTTGAACTCACATATCTTAATTTCTTATGTTAAATTGCTACTAAATAACTGTATTAATTATTTAATCTGTAAAGCTTTTTTTTTTTAAAAAAAAGAGTATTTTCACTTATTTCTTTTTTACTCAGTTTAATATCAAATTGAATAACTTTATAACTTGATCTTAATTTCAATTTTATGTCTTTAATTAATATTTTATAAGTAAATAGACTTAATCTTCTTCTTATAATACTGAGAGAATTGAAATATTTAAGTGATTTTAATAAGTGATTTTAAAATCTTAATAATGAGATTGTGACAAGCTGCGCCTGATTAATCATATAGACTATTCTGTTACACTTCACAGATTTCTATCACTTCAATTCTCAGTTGCTAATTCTCAGCTGAAAATCTACAGAATTTCTATTCTTTCACTCTGAAGCTTTATCATGTATAAAAACCTCTATTCTTTCACTCCGAAGTTTCACTGTGTACATCATTATATACATGTATAAATATTCACTTCAATCACTGATTTTCACACTTTCTCTTTCTTCTCTTCTCTAACATTTTTCTCTTTGTTATATAAGATCTATATATTATACTAATCTATTCAGTGTAGATCTCTTATACTAGAAAAATATTCATTATCTTCTTATTAGAAATGATTATTTACATTCATTATCTTCTTATTAGAAATGATTACTCACTGAGATACTTAAACATGTAATAATATGTAAGAAATAGAGAAACAGTTAAACAGTTAAACAGATACTGAGTTCTCAGATAGAAGCTTGCTTATCAGTTACTTTAACTCTGTAGTAAGATTTTATAAGAGAATATCAGTGAAAGACATGAGAGTTCTGATATCTAGATGTATAAGATATTCATACAATTATACTTCTTCAGATTTCACAGATATCACACATTTAATGAACAATATGTATGATAATAATATAAGAGAACTCTTAAATGTAAGTATAGAAGTGATATTACAGTGACTTTAAATAATGTTAAAATTATAACAGTAATAGATAGCAGACATACATGTAACTCAATAACTTCAATATAAAGAGATTCAATAATTAATTTAATAAAGAACTCATGCAATTTCAACATCTACAGAATTGAATATAAAAGTGCTGAAAGAATGCTTAGATACTTCTACATATTTTAATACTTCTGATCTCACTCTCTACACATCATGCCCCAGTGGCCGAATGGTTAATACGGCCACCCGGTAGTGCCTTGACGTGGGAAACCAAGGCGTGTGAGTTCGAAACCCGTAGGGAATACATTAAATCCGGAACTCAAGCACCTCAGGTTTCTAATAAATACAGAGGTGTACAAATTGCTTCAATAAATCACTCTATGTTCCTGGGCTGGGAAGTTATTATCGCATGTACTTAATTGTCACTTCTTTGTATTTTCTATGTTCTTGTCACGCTCCCGGCCGCGCCAAGGCCCCGTTGCGGTTCCACACGGCCCATCGCTTCCATGCGGATGATTCCATCCATCCCGCAGGCCGACCGAACCGGTTTCCAACTGCCATATGACATCATTCGGATATATTATAGGAAGATCCGATTGATGGATATGAGAACCCCGCTTCTATATGAGGTCAGCAGATTACTCTTCCTTGGCAATGAGGCGCTGCTGAGGTATCACTCCGGCTATCCTCACTCGTGGAATGGGAGAAGGGTATTCGCCCATTGTCTATATAGAATAGCTAGATGCTGGCTCCTCATCAAAGAAGCCAGTGATTTGTTTCTTTTTCTCCTACTGAAATATATACAAGAGTTACTGCATGCCTCATACAATCTTCTTAGTATACTAAGTACCATATCTGTGATATCCTCGCAATAACCCTGTAGCCTATGAGCTCACTATTCAAGCAAGATAGTCAAGCCCACTCATACAGCTCCCCAAACAACTACCCCTACATGACGCCGCCGACTAGCCACCGCTTCGGTTCCGCCACATTACAATTCGAATCGCTGGAATCAGGTCGAGCTCTAACAGACCGATATGGCCCCACGCACCCGCGCTGGGACCGACCCGACACCACCCTCTGGGGGAAACACTACACCATTCCCTAGAGTGTGTACACCTCTACCCCAGCAGAAATCTGAGATTCCTGAACTCACTGCGCATTTTGGCATGGGCTCTCCAACCGCCCTGCCACCGCCGCGGCCCCTACACACCTACATCTATCATGAAGATAGAGAGATTAAGGTCAGAGATTCACTGAGATACAAGAGAAACATCTTGTCTGAATTCCACAGCTTTATCTGTATTCTTGAACAGAAATTCCATCTTAATCTGAGTCAGTATAATACTCATGAGATATAAGTAATATATACTGCTAACCTTCTTGAAGACATCTCTGTGACTACTTGAGTCATCAAGAAGAGAAAGCTTGAGTATATTAATACTATTATAACTTAAGAAGAATTCAAGAACTTTCTACTGAATCAAATTGAAGATTACTGTAATCACAGCTTCATAGTGATACAGTAATTCAACTCATTATATCAATGAGATAATGAGAATTCTTTCAATTTCAATGTAAGATTCAAAGAATATTGAGAGAAATTGACTGATAATTTGAATTAATTAAAAACACAGCTTTATCTCATAAAGCTGACTTATAAGATGCAGATAATAATATTATAATATCAGAGTTTATTAATTAATTACACTGAGCTTGTCAATCTGACTTTCTAAATCTATTTGAATAATCAATTCTCTGAGAAAAAGACTAATAAGATCTCTTCTAAGTAATTAATAATAGAATCTAAACAGCACTGTGACAGCTTCAGTATAGAGAAAGTAAAGAAGAATTTCAAGTATTCTGATTCTTCACTCACTGTGAAGAAATATTAAAAAAGATTTGATAAAGATCTCTATTTCAACTGCAGAGCTGATGATTACTATATCAGTGATTATAAAAAGCTGAAGAAGAGAAGAAACTGAGAAGATATCTTTTTAAAGTTAACTTCTCTTCTGATAAATGTATTCACAGAAGATAAAGAAGAGAAAGAAAAGAATTGATAATTCTGATATCTCTGAGTTCATATTACAATCACAATGTATATCTTAAATGAGAAGATATCAGTAAGATATCTACTCAACTCTGAGATAGATACTAACTTCATATTCTATTTCTTTTCTTTGATGAAGAATTAAAAGAAGATAGATCTATCAGATCATATAAAATTTATAGATGAAATAAAATATCACTATTTTAACATAATTTAAGCAAAGTATGTGATCACAGACTTAGAAGAAATCTTTAAGAAGAGCAGTCTGCTTCTTCACACAGTTAATATTATAGATGAGAATATCATTCTAAATCTCTTATAATTGAGAGAAAATAATTCTCTCATTGACTGAGTCACTTAGATATGATGATATCATCTCACTGATGAAGAGACAGTGATAGAGAAATCTGAAGAGTTTTATCAGAAGAATCTTGAGAAAAAGATTGAGTTAATATACTGCATAGCAGATAACTGAGACTTAAGAATAGATGAAGAAGTCATTACTCTTACTACAAGATTAGCAGCAGTATTCATTATTAAAGACAGATATACACAATATCTCTTTACAGATTTTAAGAATGTCTTTTTAGAAAGATAAGCAGTGAAGTTTTCTGATATCAAAATATAATATAAGATTTATCTTGAAGACAGTGCAACAGCACTGTACAGATCTCTTTACAACTTATCTATAAAGAAGTTAAATGTTTTGTGTAAATATCTTGAAGAAGTGCAATCAAAGAACTGAATATATTTATTAAAGAGTCTGACAGAGATGTCTATACTCTTTGTACTCAAGAAGAATGATAGACTACATCTATGCATAGACTACAGAGGTCTCAATAAGATGATAGTTAAGAATCACTATTCACTACTATTGATTGACAAGATAATCAATCAATTATCTGAAGTGAAGATGTTCTCAAAGATTGATATACAGAATATCTATTATAGAATCAGAGTTAATGAAGATAATGTTTGAAAAACAGCTTTTCATATCAAGTACAGCAATTTTGAATATCTTGTTTTATCTTTTAATCTTTGTAATACTTCAGTCATCTTTCAGATCTATATAAATGAGATGCTATGAGGCCTTGTTGATGTCTTCTGCATAGTATATCTGAATGACATTTTAATCTTCTTGAAATCAGAGAAAGAACATGATACTCATGTTTGAAAAGTATTGAGTCACTTGAGACAGTATTAACTCTATACAAACACTGAAAAATGCTCATTCTACATGCAGAAGATTGATTTTTTAGATTATATTATTGAGATGAATGACATTTCAATGAATAGAAGCTGAGTCTCTGTCATTGAGAACTGATCAGTGCTGTGAATGTACTGTGAGATGTAGGTATTTCTAGAATTTGTGAATTTCTACAGATAATTTATCTATACATATTCACAGATTACTGTCTCTCTTACAGATCTGTTAAAGAGAAATATGAAAGACAGAAAAATGAGACTATTTATTCTCACTCAAGACACTATACAGATATTTGTGAAATTAAAACAAGCTTTCACAGATGTTACAATACTGAATCATTTTAATCTCAACTTATTCAGTCAGTGTGAGACTGATGTATCTGAGAATGAGATCTGTGAAATCTTTTCACAGTTAATATCAGAGATCTTTCAATATTAAAAGAATCAGAGAATAATCACTTCTGAGAAAACAGATAATGAATTATCTGTGAGAGAAGACTTTTTCACAGAGTCTATAAGATATTATGAATGAAGATCAGTGATCTTCTTCTTCAAGAAGTTATCACTTATACAGAGCAGATATGATACTCATAATCAGAAGATGTTAGTAATTATTAAATTCTTTAAGATCTGATGATATTATCTTCAGAGTAGTAAGTACTCAGTGTAAGTTCTTACTGATTATGCAAATCTGCATTACTTCTTAATAATAAAGAGCTTGACAGAATATCAAGTCAGATGAGCAGAGCTGCTTTCAGAGTATGATTTCTATATCTGATACTGTTCAGATCAGCTTAACTCTGTCAACACACTGTCTAAATGACCTGATTATAATATCATTGATATGAAGAAGAATTCTATAAAAGAATCTCTGTCATCACTGCAGAAGAAGCTGGCTGCAGAGGATTGAGATTCTCTAAAGCTCAGAAACAGTGCTGAAGAGACACCTGTGTGACTCAGTATAGAAGATGAAAGAGAACTCAGGTCTCTGTAGAGAACTGATACTGAAGATCATGAGCTTCTCATGTCACATCTTACAATCATTGAATTGACAAAGAATGAAACAGTCTACAATCTTTCAATCTAACTACTTTTAAAATTTATTGATAAGTTATAGAAGAGAGATATCTCTACTGCAGCTTGAATTCAGAAGTTGAAGAAGAAAGAGTTCAGTTTGAACTTGAAAGAGACAGACTCTGAGTAGAGTGATACTGCTAAGAAATCAAGTTACTGATAACTAGAAGAATATGAACTTCTACTGCTGAATAATTCAGTCTTCATCTCTTATAGCAGAGTGATGTGTTAGAAGTTATTGAGAATTCATTATAATGATTTTCATACAGAGCACTTCAGATTAGAGAAGACTGAGAAGCTTCTAAAATATAAATATATTTAAGATAAGCTTTAGACAGATGTCAAAGAGTATATTAAAACTTATAATATCTGTTAAAGAATAAAGATTCTGCAGTATAAGTAATATAATAAGTTAACATCACTGTCTATTTCAAAGAGCTTATAACAGAATCTATTAATGAATTTCATAGTTGACCTGCTGAAGTCAACAAGTGTCAAAGAATATGACTTAATTTTAATCATTGTTAATCACTTCATGAAGATGATCAGATATATTTCTACTTATAAAAAGATTAAAGCCTCTGAATTGACTAATCTGTTTTCAGATATCATTATTCATAATCACAGTGCTTTAAAATTGTTAATAATAGATTAAGAATCTCTCTTCATCAGTAAATACTGATCAGCTTTTTACTATTATCTTATAATAAGATATCTTCTCAGTACTGCATTTCATCTGCAGACTGATGATCAGACTGAATACTAGAATTAGACACTAGAACAGCATCTTCAAGTATTCTGTTTATATTATCAGAATGATTGATCTAAATATCTTCTAATCATTAAATTTATATATAATAATACAAAGAATACAATCTTAAAGATATCTTCTTTCTATACTTGTTATGAATATAATTCTTCATTACTCAGTAACATCACAGATAATGTTTCAAAGAGAGAAATAGACAGTCAGAATGTTAGATAGATACAGAGAATGAAGTATTTCTCAGTATTAGAAGTAAAAGCAAGATTGAAACTTTTGAATAAAATTCATGAAAAGACAGTGAAAAGCATTCATTATACTCAGAAATGATAGATGAAATACTATAATTAAAAATATCTTTCAATGAAGTTCTTGATAGAGAATTAAGTACTACTTTCAGCAAAGAATATCAAGATAATGAGACTATATAAGAAGCTTAGTGAGTGGTGACTAGAACCTTTCTCAGTAATAAGAGTGATAAGTAAGCAGACATATAAGTTAAAATTACTTATAGAATTGAAATCAATTCATTCTGTTTTTCACATTTTCTATTTAAAGCTCTATAAGTAATACTCTGAGATGAAGCTGTCTCAGCTGAATAATATTGAGATTGAGAGTGATACTGAATATCTTATGAAGAAAATATTGAATAAGTGAACATATTACAGTAAGCTTCAATATCTCATTCAATAAGAAGATTATTCATTGTCAGAGAATTTATAAAAATCACTTAAGTATTTGAAAAATGCTGAGAAAGAGATTGTAATCTATAAGATAGCTAGTAGAGATTACTCTGTTACATATCAGAGATATTAAATAAGAAATACTGCTTAAAACTTCTCATTTTTCTCAAAGAGTTTTTTAGAGATGATCTCACAGTGATGAGTCAGTGTCTTGTAAGCTCACTCTTCTTCTATTTTCTCTCAAAGAGTTTTTAGAAGTTTAGTAAGACTATACAAGTGTAACATTTCTGAAGCAGTTAAAAGAAAAGAGATATTTAAAACTAATAAAAAGATTAATATTATTGACTTATAAGCTGCTGCTATTCTAATGAGGCTGCAGCTTGCTGAAAAAGTAAAAAGAGAGATTAGAGTCTACTTATTAATAATCACATCTTTATCAAACTCATTCTTCACTGTTAAAGTCTTCAGTACTGATATCTTTATCTATCAAGAAGTTAGTACTGCAGCATCATAGAAGAGCAGGAGAAATATATGAAATAATAACTTATTAACTTACAAAGCATCTCAATCATCTGCTTCAACTGAAGCAAGATTCTCTTCAATCAGTGATTAATCTCTATGATACTTTCAACAGCAGTATCAGCTGACTTCTTCTTAAGATCAGTCATTCTGAGGTGTTTTTTCATCTCAGAGACTTATACTTT